GGAATAATACTATACGACTAACAATTCATTGATTTTTAAACCGATCCATTTACTATTTATTATTTGATTTACTAATACTTTATACTGCAACAAGAAAAGAGTCAAATGTTTTGGAAACTCCTTGTTAGGGGATAAATTCATATGATTTTGAATCAGAGCTCGATATCTTTCTTTCTCCCTCGTAGTAACAAAATCTATGGGTTTGCAGCGATAACTTGGTATATCTACTAGACGACCATTAACTATAATATGTGTTTGGTTAACTAATTGTCGGGCTCCAGGAATGGTCGAAGCTATACCCAATCGAAAAATAATGTTATCCAAATGCATCTCGAGTAGTTGTAGTAAAACATGTCCTGGTGACCCTTCGGCTTTTCCGGCGATATGAACATATCTAAGTAATTGTCTCTCTATCAAACCTTAATGAAAACACAATTTTGGTTTTTCTTCTAGATGAATACGATATTGAGATATTTTTCCAGAACGGGATTGGTTTCTAAGATCACTTTGAGATCTAGGTCTTTTACTAGTTAGTCCAAGTAAAGCCCCGAGACGTCATATTTTTTTGAAAGGAGGTACTAGGTAATGTGACATAAAGACTCCTTATTTTATAGAATTAATATGAACCTAAACTAAAAATGAACTCAACTGTATTTATTGGAAACATTCATCTAATACGGTTTGTCCTCGGGATAAATTGGAGCCTTCCCATGACATATGAACTACTAATACATTTCTTTCCTAAGCGAGTTCCCCACAAGCTATAGCCCCACCATCTACCAAGATTTGTCCCTTTTTAACATATTTATCCTGATGAACCTGAGGTTGTTGATGCATATAAGTATTTTTGTTGAAACACTGAAACTTAAGCAATGGAATACTTATAGTGCCTCTATTCCTTGATAAAAGGATATTTTCAGTATCGGTATAAATGATCTTTCCCTTGTGTTAGGATATAGCTAAACCCCCCGAATCTAAAGCCACTTGGCACTCCAACCCAGTTCCAACAATGCATTTCTCGGATGGAGAAAGCGGAACTGCTTGACGTTGCATATTAGAACTCATTAAAGCTCGATTCGCATCATTATGTTCGATAAAAGGAATGAGGAAAGCTCTAATAGAAAAATAGAGGAGGGGATAATTGCTTCTAAGATCAATATGTTCCCATGCAATAGTCACAAATTCTTGGCGGTATCGAGCTGGAAAGACCTGGATGTCTTGAATATCTTGATTCAAGGCCAAAGAATATCTTGATTCAAGGCCAAAGAATTTCATGCTGCTACCATTACCATATAGTATTCATCTCTCCTTTGACCAATTTTCTTTTTCTCTTTCTCATTCAGGAAATACAATAAAATTTCAAGGTAACAAACATTGTTTAGAATTTCTCTTAGATTCGAACCCATAGTTGATGGTAGAACTAGAATAGAATTTTTTTGTTTCCTGCTCACACGAGCCCATATCCTTGCTTTTCTATCAATCTCTAATTGTGATCTTCCTCTACAATCTAATATTATGGTGCCAGTATAAGTAGAAATCCTGTTATGTTCCAATTCTGAACTGTAATAAATATCAAGGCTTTGTAATATTTGATTGATCATAATCTTGTATATTCCATTTACTACAAAGGTTCCCGTAGAATTCATGAGAGGAATGTTTCCAATAAATAGGTTTGTTCTTGCATATCTCTATGTAGAGATATGCTTTGCTATATTTGATTGATCACAATTATGGGTTGGACACACCCCAATTTGATTTAATTTAATTTGATTTGAATTTCTTTTTATTTATACTTTTTTCTTGATTTTATCTTGTTAATTTCTACTCTATCCTTCCTAGAGGAAATATCCAAGAGATTCTGTTGGAATCCTTCCATTCCGATTTCGGAGGATGGATTCCATTTAATCCCTTTATTTTATGATTTAATTGGAAATCATATAAAGGGAATTTAGATTGTATCTAGCTATTTGTGCAGGTATTTTACGATTAAGAAGCAACTGCCTCTTTTACAAATCGTTTATTAATCGACTATAGGATACCCCATTCTTGTGAGTTGCTGCATTTATTCGAGCAATCCACAAACGACAAAAATCACTCTTTTGCCTACCTCTATCCCGATAAATGGAAACTAAAGTCCTCATTTTTTGTTGAGTAGCAGTTTAAGTAAGTCTTGAGTAGGCCCCTCGAATGATCAATGCAAATAAACGAATTTTGTTCAACATCTGCGAGCTATATATCCGCATCTAACTCTAGTCATTTAATTTGATTTAATTTCACTACATACCTAATTGGGTCATGTCCAACACAGACGCAACCACATTGCCACCCCTATCAGCCATACGCACTCCCAAGTTCCAACTTTTATTTCTTTGAAATAAAGATGCAAATAACCGAAGTGAGAGCGTTAATCGCAGAGTAATAGAAATAGCGTATCCTTGAGACAAACTCTTCAAAAATAGAGAGTGTGCGTGTGTGTTTTTTCGTGAATAGGAATGGGCATCAAGGACATGATTATCATAATTGGGCTTGTTTCAAGGCCACCCATGCGTGATTGAAGCTGGGTTGTTATATCACTTCACATGCAGAATAAACAAAACAAAATATTGTAAATAAATGCGGGGAATAGAGAGATATATAAAATAAAGAAAGGATCTGGTTTCTATGCAGCCAAGCCGGCATATGTAGAAATGCAGGCCTCTTAATAAATCTATTTTTGAGATGGATTTTAAGACTTAATTTTTAAATACCTGCAATCTTTAATATGGAGATCATTAATCTAAATAAATAAATAAATTTTAAAAATTAGAAATAATAATTCTAGAAAGAAAACATTTGGACCGTTAGTTTTCATTGTTTTAAGATGGAACACCTAGTTACATCCATTTTTTAGATGGATGCTTTACACTTTCTGGACCGCATGTGTAGAAATGCAGTCCAACTCGCATGACACAATTTTTAGTAAAGAAATAAAGGAAAAGCATCGTATAAATTTGTTGAGTAGCTGGGGACGGAGGGAGGGACATGTGAAAGCCATGCTTCCAATTGATGGAGTGTTTCCTAAGAAAACACATATTATACATCTGTTTTTCCTGTCGGTCACACGAGTGAATACAACCGATCCAATCATTGAGGTTTTAATTGAAAATTGAGTTTTTAATTGAAAAGTAAGCTTACAAGCCAACAATAAAGAGAGAGACTCGTAGAAAATGTACAGCTTAGAGAGACAAAGAGGGATAGACAATGTCCACATAAAGTGATCGATTTTTAGTGAGGGATTCTCAATTAATTCAACATTAAAAAGAGGAGCACGTGTGTTATTCTCCGGTGGGAGCATGGTGTACAGTTATTCCCTCAGTCAGATTTCACACTCGGAAGAATTTTTCAATATAAAACTGTGGAAGCCAATTAAGAATTATTAGGTAATTATTTTTAAATAAAAATTTTTGAAATTTGAATTGTCTAGCACTTAGATCTGGCTCATTGATAAATTGGATGGTCTATACTCATTTTTTAGTTTCTTTTTTTTTTTTTTTTTCATATGCATAAAGAGTGCAATTAATGAACTATGTTATTAGGGCTTGAAGAGGTTACACCTTCAAAAGATAGCATCCTAAAGTTAATTGATTTTGTCCGAGGTAGTAAATTTATAATGTACTCCAGCAGGAGTATAAAATCTTTTAGTTTGAAAAACTAAAGTACTTTGGGAATCCGTCGGCAGCGATGGGGTCATATAAATATTCATTCTTGGAAGAATTTGGTTAGAGTGAGTAAAACAGTTGGGCCTAAGGTTATGAACCACGATTTAGTGACCTAGATTGTCCCTGTGGAAAATCGGTCCGGATAAGCAGCGAAAAAATAATTAAAAAATTTTGGAAATAAAAAAAATAAAATATTTAAAAAATAAAGTGAGTCCGGACTAGCAGCGAAAAAATAATTAAAATTTTAAGAAATAAAAAAATTAAAATATTCAAAAAATAAAGTGAGATCAGTTCTTTGATAGAACCGACCAGTTTTATCACATAATTGTCTGGTTCTTGATATTTAGTAGGATCTGGATCAGCCTGTTCAATTCCCACACCAAACCATCATTTTTGAAACCCTTGCTTGGGCCTAGCGACTGTTTTTTTTATGGAGGGCCTCAGTTTAGGAGAAGGATTTTGTGGCTAGAATGAACACCTAATAAGATGGCCTATCTAGCCACATCAAAAGCATGGGATTATTTTGGACTGAAACTTTAATTCATTATGTGACAATTTAAAAAAAAAAAACAAAAAAAAGAAAGAAAGAAATGCTTTTGAGTTCTTGCAACTCTAGATCTGCCATCCCACAAATAACTCTTTTGAGGAATATTAGTGAAGAGAAATACTCATAGTCTTTACGGTTAGTGGAATAAAGAAAGTGCTATAGTATTGATAATTTTCGAGCAATATGGATTTGTAATTGGAAGTTTTAAGTGCTTTTGGCTTTCTTATGTCGACCTCCAGATTAATAGACATGAGAAAAAAGGGGATTTCTAGTCTTATAAATAGTTCATCTTCTAATACATTAATTGGACTATCCATTTTCAAGATTTTTCAAGTGTTTATAAACTTGCTAGCTCGTTTACCATTTTTGGAACTTTTAAAATTCATGATTGGAGGCAACAATAGATTTGTGGCACCAAAACTGCATTTTGCATAGTTTTGAAGCGCACCTTAAATAGTATAAGGTTCACCCTTTTATAACCTTACTCTTCTTAAAAAGGACGGCAACTGGGAACAGTAATTCGGTATTTTCGTACTAAAAATATTCAGTAAAGGAATCTGAAATAGGTGCTTCAGATGAGTAGAGAAATGACTAAAAAAGCCTGGTATAATTCTCAGAGACGTTTGTTTGGATTATTCAAAAAATATTTATTATTTAATCTTGTGATCATTCCTCATATCCCCAAACACACTACTATCTCTCTCTTAAACGAACTATTCACTCTCTCTCTCTCTAACTTTTCCTTGGTCTTTTCTTTTCTACTTTTCTTTTTTCCTTTTTCTTTGTAGACTTGGGATTTAAGCTGGTTTTGGTCTCTAGGCATAAGAGATGGCTTAGAACCCAATCCATGCCAATGCATTTCAATAACATTTTTGCGTAGAACCCAATTGATTGCTTCACCTTCCTGTGTCTTCTAAACAACCCTTCTTTCTCTCCCTTCTAACTTGAATCTTAAGCATAATTCTCTCCTCAAATTAACGGAAAAACTATTAATTCCCTCGCTCAGACCAGATCACAGCTCCGAATCTCTTCGTTCTCGGCATATTCGATTGAATTATATCAATATCTCAGATGGGTTCCGTCAATATTTTCACTGAAAGCTGTTGATTGGCACAATACAATGCATCACAATTCTTACTCTACTCTTTCCATGAATTCATAGCAATTCTCATTTCTCTCTGTTCTGAGAGCGTTTCCTCAGTGATTTTGACCCTTTCTGGCCAAATGTTTTTACTTTTTTTCAAATACTGAGCGATTTCTTCATATTTTTTAAATAATCTCTCTCTGAAAGATAACATAAGAGTGTTACTTCTCCAACAATGGTCGGATATCGTGTGTGGCCTCAAAAACACCAGTTCTTTGGTGCCTATTGTTGGGTCATTCTCCGGTGAAAAAAAAAAAAACCATCGAGTGCCCCTAAGAATTTTTGCCCAAACTTGGCAATTTTGGCCCGAATTCGACGACTTTTTGGCGAGAGAATGGGAAGGCCTTCGAGTACTTATAATAAGCAAAAGCTAAGGAAAGGACTGTGGTCACCACAGGAGGATGAGAAACTCATGAAACACATCACGCAGTTTGGCATTGGTTGCTGGAGCTCAGTGCCCAAACAAGCGGGTACTCTCTCTCTCTCTTTCTCTTTCTCTTTCTCTTTCTCTTCATTATATAACTTGCGTTTGTGGCTCTAGCTCAATTAATCTTTTAATATTCTGAATGCATGTAGGTTTACAGAGGTGTGGAAAGAGTTGCAGATTGAGATGGATCAATTACCTAAGGCCTGACCTTAAGAGAGGCTCCTTCTCACACCAAGAAGAAAACATCATCATCAGTCTTCATGCAGTTCTTGGAAACAGGTAGAGAGAGAGATTCAGTCAGGTATTTGAGTGAGAAATGGAGCATGATAATACATTTTCTCTCTCTTGATAATTGGGGAATTTCAGGTGGTCTCAGATAGCGGCTCAGCTACCTGGAAGAACCGACAATGAGATCAAGAACCTGTGGAATTCATGCCTAAAGAAGAAGTTAATCCAACAAGGAATTGACCCCAACACTCACAAGACATTAACCACAAATGACCCCTCTGAAAACCAGGTCCTCACCAAGAACCAACAAAACCAGAAGCTTCAGAGTATTTCCATGACCGAAACCTCGCAATTGCCGATAAATTCCTTCACAAATAACCCCAACCCACCCTCACTATCTCTTTCAAAAAAAACCATTTCAGAAACACCTATCTCCATCTCTGCAAACTGCCTCAATGTCAATCCTCACTCTGTAACTGACCCATATTCGAATTGGGTTCCATTGTTTCACAGAGATTTTGTTCTCTCTCATCAAATCCAAGCTGAGGTGAGAGAGGATTCCGGATTTTTGCCTGTTACTGAATCAAATTACTGTGAAAAAAGTACCTCCATGGTAATTGAGGACAACTTCTCAGGCAAATTAGACAAATTTGTTACTCCATCGGGTTCATGGACCTGCACTAAAGGGATCGATCAGCGCTGCGATAATGGTAGATTAACCTACAGTAACAGTAGCAGTTCCAGTAGCAATGGAGGAAATAAGGATTTTCAGAGCGAAAACATGCATTTTGAGGGCTTCAAATGGCCTGAATACTTTGAATTATCATTCTCTGAGAATCTGAATTCATGGCAGAAGTTGCAGTGCTCAGATGACTACAGCAGTTTATCAGAAGATCAAACCGATCCCAAATTCGATCTCTTTGAACAGATTTAGCACACTAGAATTTCTTTTTTTTTGTGGATCTTTTATATGCAAATATTGATCAGATTTATTTTGAACAGTGAACACATTTTTCTCTATTTCATTTCTTTTTCTGGGGTTCTTACCGCCATTGAATTGAATAAAAGAATTTGGAAGAGAGATATGAAGTGGGCTTGGGTTTTTTAGCCCTAATGTAAATGAGTGGCATGTATTCTGCTTTTTTTTTCTCCCAAAGATATAGAATTTGTGTAGAGAGAGAGAGAGAATTGAGTTTGAATGAAGAATTGGGTTGGATGAGGTGGAAAGATTTGCCGTTTTTCTTTGATATGGTTTCACTTTTATGTGATGGGATGGTCGTGGATTTGACGTCGCATGTTTTTTTCATTTGACATTTTGTCTCTTAAGATGCTCTGTCGGTCGTTTCTGGCCACTGTTACTTTTAAGTTTATAAGCTTGTCGGTCGTTCGTCAAAGTTTCAACCATTGTTTGAATAGCCGCCCGAACAAACCGATAACCACCGGGGTCGGTTTTGGTGATCGGTTGATATTTTAAAAATAAAAATTTAAAAAATTATCTATAAAATCTTAAAAGTAAAAAATTTAATTTATAATATATTTTTTAATAGTTTTTAGATTATGGTAAATATTAAAAATTATTTTCATCATTAATACTTACTTTTAAAATCCATTTTTCATTAATTTTCAACTTCACTTGAATGTGTTTTGTTTAATTATTCTTTATATGTTTTTTGTATTTTAGTAGATTTTTTTTTATTTTTTTCAACAATGTTTTGGCCTCCTGGGACCTGCTCGGTTAAAACGGTTGAATTGGCCAGTTTATCAGTTAGGCCGGTTAAACCGCTTATGGCCCATGTCCGGTTAATCCTTTCGATTTGATTTTACGAGCACTGGTTTTAACTCAAGTCCATTCGAGATTGATATTTTCTCTCTCTAGTCTAGAGAGAAAATGTTAACCCACATGGCAATCTTAAATTTAGGAAAGGGCACGAGGATGGTAGCACCTCACATCCTACTCACCAATATGTGATTTTCATTTATATTGACAATCACCCACTTAACATCATCTTTCAAATACCAATTTTTAGGGAAAATGACCTCTATCCCCTTTCTCAGAATTTCCATCCGTATTAGCTATTTTGGTTCACCAAAATCCCTTGTACACCTTCAAATTTAAAACTTTGGGACCATTAACTCCTGACTTATATTTTTTTTTGTTCTTTAACAAATTTGATCTTTTTATTTTGAAAAATGTCAAATCTATTAATTTGTCAACTTCCTTCCCTTTTCTCTTCTGCTACCCAAAACAATCTTACATCTGTAGACCCCACTCTAAAAATTTAGACTTGAAAAGAAAATGATTTTTTCTTTAATATTATGACGTATTTTGCAATTGCATCAATATCTTTTGTACTTGGAAAATGATTAATCAAGATCTTTAGTACTATCTATTTATTGATTTATTAAAAAAATTTATTAAAATACCTATAAGAGACGAACTATTTAATAATAAGTATATTGTTGTTGTTATTACAATTATTATAATAATAATAATCATTATTATTAACATCAATGAATTTTGTATATCAAGTCACAAAAAAAAAAAAATTGACTAATGTATGGGTTTGGTATTTTATAAAACAAAAAGATCAAATTTGTAAAAGAAACAAAAAAAAATACACTTGGGGGGCAAACGGTCCCAAAGTTTTAACCTTGAGGGGGTACAAGAGATTGGTGAACTCAAAGGGCTAATAGGGATGGAAATTTCAAAAAAGGGGATAGAGGTCATTTTCCCTAATTTTTAAACTGCTTGAAAAAATGGATAGAGCCTGTCTTTTCCTGAATTACCCCAAGAAAAACAATGCATGCTAGTTTTAAAGTTATTATTATTATTATTATTATTATTATTATTATTATTATTATTATTATTATTATTATTATTATTATTATTATTATTATTTTGAACTTTGTTGAGATGTAATCAGCCCTAAAGAAGTAGGGTGGGCATGGTCATGTTTTTTGTTCTAGAGTTTGGAGTCGTTTTCACCTGAAAATAAATACAAAATGGAGTATTTCTTTTTTTTTCTTTTTAAATTAAGCATCAAATAACATAAAATAAAATAAAAAATGAGTTTATAGTTGGTTTTATTTGGGGTACATTTTTAGGATGGGTTGGATATTTTATGATGCCTATCAAAAGGTATCTTTTAGTTTTTTTTATTAGTTCAGAGGCTAAGTTGTCCGTTTTCTGAGAACTAAACACAAATGACTTGGAATTTATGGAGCTTGTATTCCTCAATTTCTTCCGCTTTATTGTATTTTATGGAACTTTACTTTTTTATCTAATGAAATTTATCTTTAATTATGTTGAAGTTTCCAACCAAAATGTCTTAGATAAGGGAAAAGTTTGGGATACTAATTTATCGGAAGATTTTAAAATAAGGCCATGGCTTTCTAAAAAAAATAAAGCCTCACATCAAAGCTCATCTAAAATTGCAGTTTCAATGTCAAAAAGCCTTCACATTAATTACCTTGACTTTAATTATTATGGTTGTGATAAAATTAAGATTTCAAGACCTCAAACTAATATAAATTGTAACACATTATCGATGCCGTCTATTTGCAAATATTCACATATCCATACGATCTATAGCATTTTAATTTCTGGTAGAAACGTATTTTAGAGGCATCTTAGGGATTTTCTATAACCAAAGTATATTCGGGACAAGATTTCAAAATGGGATTTTATTTTATTTTTTTCATAAGGCCTAGGTCGTATAGAACCAGCATCGTTTCTCCCAAAATAACTCCTGTTTTGATTGGGTTGTGGGGGTGGTAAAATTGAAAATTATTCTTTCAAGTATTGCAATATAGTTTTCAAAAGCAGGACATAGAAAAGGAATGAAATGTTAAACCATAAATATCTTGAATGATTTTACGAAGTCCCCGTCGCAGATTGCCTCCAAGTTTCACGAATTACAATTGCACCCTTGACAAGGCGCATATATACATAAAAAAATAAAAATAAAAAAAAAGAAAAGAAAATTGACATAAGCATGGAATTTTTTATTAATGAACGAGGATTACATCAAACTATAAAGCAACAAATCAAGAAACAACCACATTAGTGAATTGCACTCCTGTTTTAGCTAGTGTATGTGCCTTCTTACTAGCTTTCCTATAGTGAATGGGATTGACAAAGGTTCAAGATTTTCATCCAAACATCTCTCAAATTTCAAGGTGGTCTCTCAACATTGTTGCACCAATTAATCACGTTTAAGGAATCCCCTTTACGATTTCAGCCCATGTAACAAAGCTAAAACCTCTGTGTTATTAGTTGTAGCCTCACCACATAACAAAGCTAAAGCCTGTGCTTTGTAAGCAGTCGCCTCACCACAAGGCCTTGAATAAGTAAATAGCACCACTAGTGTTATCAACTAAGTTTAGTGGCACGAGATACAAGAAGCTCTAGACACAATGCTTTGTTATAAATAGGATGCAGTTTCTATAGGGCCTTATGAAAAAGCAAAGTAAAGCCTCACTTTGAAAAGTGACCCACTTTGATTTTTCTCATTGCAGTATTTACTGACGGAGTAAAAGAGTGTTGGGGTGATTACGTAGTGCAGCCCCATAAGAACCGGAAAAAATAAAAAAAAACAAAAAAAATAAAATAAAAAAAGGTTAGAGAGAGGTTTTTAGAGAGAGAAAACATAGAGGGTGTTTTAAAAGACAAAACAAAATGGGGTTTTTTTTTGAGACATTCTTTGCAAGCAAAGATAGGGTTCTTTGAAGGCTCTTGGAGAGAAGAAAGTGCAGGTTTGTAGCAAAGTTTCTATCACCATTCTCAAGCCATTCCATAGGTCATTTTTGATATCTCTCATGCTCAACATTTAGCTGGAAAATCGAAACAGTGGTGTGCTCTCTTGTTGCATCTCTGAGCCATTGAAAGACCATTTTTTTTGGGCTTTTTTGTGGTGGGAAATAGATGATCTTGTTGGTGCTTGTGAGGTAATTTTGTATCTTCTCCAAGTTATTGTTGTTCTCTCATTTGATTATAAGCCTCACGTTTTGGACAAAAACATGAGAAGAAACCATATTGTAACCCTCATTTGATTTCAGTGGATTCCTCTATCGGATTTGCCCCATGGTATTTCCCTTCACATTGAAGGGTTTTCCACCTTAAATCTTGTGTTGTGATTGTGCTTGGTAGAACTTTCCCTTTTGTGATTTGTGATTTCTATTTTTCTTGGCACTTAGCAAATTGCCCATTTTTAGTATTTGAACAAACATACATTGTGGGATGTTTTTAGCTTTGATTCATGCATAGAAGGGAAGAACATTGCTTCCCAATAACTGATATCAGAGCATTTACACATCAAGTGTTTGTTTTTATTCGTGTGTGAATCAAAGATGGATACAAAGACCTCTATAAGGATGATTAGTTTAAATGGGGGTAATTGGTCAATTTGGAAGCCCAAGATGGAAGACACTCTCTATTCTAGAGACCTCTATTTGCTAATTGAGGGGATAAAGAAGAAGTCGAAACCATCACCGATGATGATTGGAAGAAGTTAGACTGGAAAGCAATTGCTTACATCCGGCAATGGTTGGATGATACCGTGTTCCACCATGTATCAACAGAAACTAGTGCAATTTCCTTGTGAAAGAAATTGCATAATTTGTGAGATAAAGATGGCAAAAAATAAGGCATTTTTAATTAAAAACTTGTAAACTTGAAGTTTAAGAAAAACGGGTCGATTGCGGAGCACTTGAATGAAATACAAAGCATTGTATCAGTTGGCAGCTATGAAGATGGTGCTAGATGATGAGCTGCAAGCATTGTTATTGTTGAGCTCATTACCTGACACTTGGGAGACCCTCGTTGTATCCCTTAGCAACTCGGCACCCGATGGGGTTGTTACCATGAGCCAAGTTACAAGTATTTTGTTGAATGAAGAAGTGAGAAGAAAATCTTCAGATTCCTCCCACTCACACACATTAGTCACTAAAAAACGGGGGAGACCGAAGAATAGAGAAAATCATAACCGAAGAAAATAAAAAAGGAGATCCAAGTTGAGAAAAGAATTGCGTTTAGGATGCAAAATCTGACAAATCCTCTGATGAAAATCTCTCGGATCTTGACACCTTAAACTTATGAAAATGTAGTGGTGGAGAACGTGGGACAAATCGAATTCAGATCTGAGGCCAGATCAGCTCGAAAACGAGCAAATCTACTCTCAGATCTGTGGCAAAGACACTAAAAAAACGA